TGTCTTTGTACCTGTCATATCCATCCTCTACCTATATTGAACCTGTTGCCCATCTGTCTAAAAGTCAGTCTCTGAAAATAGATACAGAGGTACACTGATAAAGCTAGATTCTTTTTCTGTAATTTCATTGTGTTTTGTAATTAGCTGCAGGGCTTGGCATAGATGATTATTGGGACTACAACTCCCAATATCCGTTCTGCCCCTACCCTTCATAAACACGTTTATAATGAGCTTCTGACCAGGGAAGGTACAACAGATCTCTGGGAAACTCTTCCGGGCAGACAGATTTTTGCATGGAGGAGTGATGGCACAGAAACAGACACTGGAAGATTTATTTTCAAATTGGAGTGTACGTGCCAAACCTGTGAAGCTGTCCCTATCAGCCTGCTAAAAATGCCACCAGCACCTGCTATTCTACTCAAATAACAAAGGTAGCAACAATAAAAATAACCTACCTCAATTTCCTTTGGAAGACTTTATTTGTATTTTCTCTTGGTAGAGCGTTGACTGCGATAAAACAGCACTTTCATAATAGGGCTTACCTGTTGGATTGCAGGAAAGGTCATTTAAAAAAAAAAAACAACAGCCAAAGTGCCTGTTTGTAATGGATGTTTTCTTGCTTATGGCTGGTATAATCCAGTTGAGGAGTTCTCTTTCAAATGTAGGTTTGATGTGCACTGGAAACTAAACTTCAGCTTGAGATTTGAGGGTTGCAACTTTTGAAGGAGCCTTAGGATATGGCCGTAGTGCAGTCGGGGTGTGTGTGCACAGCATGTGTGGGCATACCCAAGCCAGTTTTAATGTAGCAAAAAGCCATGGAGGTGTGACAATACAGGATTCAGAATGGGATAGCTTCCTCAGGCCAGGTCTATGCTACCAGAGAAAGTCAACCTAAAATACGCAACTCCACTATGAGAACAGTGTATCTGGAGGCTATGTACCTTAAGTCGAATTTCTGCAGCATCCCCGCTGCAGGAGATCGATGGGAGAAACTCTCCCATTGACTTCCCAGGCTCCTTGTGATGCGGTGAAGTACCAGAGTCAATTGGCCAACAGTGGTCAATTTAGCGAGTCCTTATTAGACCCACTAAATCAAACCCTGGGAGGTTTCTCTCTGGAACATCGATCTCAGGATAAGTGAAGACACGTCCTCAATGAGCATCAGGTGTCCTTGCCAGGCTTGTACAGCCTGGTAGGAAGCCTATTGCTCTTGGTACCCACACTAGCTAAAACTAGTATCTACAGGTGCTACAATCACACCTCCGGTGCCATGTAGATACATCTTAGAAAAATGGATGTGCACAGGCCCATTGAAATCCAGTGGGATTTGGGCATCTATTACTCCTTTAGACTCTTTTGAGAACCACAGCATCGACATTTTCACAACTAAGTTAGTACTAGTGTAAGGTATTGGACGGGCAGGAGACTTGAAATTCTTTATTCAGCTGCAAACTAGGTTTGAACTAACAGCAACAGTTCAAATCCCCCCCATGCAGGGTCGGCCCACAACATTTTGGCACCTGAGCCAAATGGGGAGCTTAAATAATGCCCCCGTGTTCCCTCGCTGCACCAGCAGCAGACACAATTTTCTACACTCTGGGTCCTAGTGGTGCCCCCCTCCCCCCTCCCCGGTCTGGCACCTGAGGCGGCCGCCTCAGTTCGCCTCATGGTAAGGCCAGCCCTGCCCCCATGATGTTTGTTTAGTTAGTTGTATTTTCATAGCACATCAGAACCCTAGTCGTGGACAGTTACACCATTGTGCTAGTGATGTATAGACACAGGACAAATAAACTGTTCATACCCCCAACGAACTTCCAGTTGGAGTTGCCCAGCCTGTGCACTCAATTGTTTTTTACTAGGAGTAGGCAGAGATTTGCATCTTCATGGCCCACTCAGTTCTTAGCATCTCCACTGTGAGTTGTTGTTTGGAAACCTGTCCCCCGGAACAGGGTTGAGACCACTCACCCCCTTCACTGGCCTAACAACCTCATGGTGAAAAACTCTGTCTCTTGTTGCAGTTCTGTGGGACAATCAATTCCCAGATGTTAAAGCTAATATTATAAAGCTAGATGAATCTTTAAGGGGAGGATGGTAATCCCAGACCTCAGGAATGTGGTTATTTGAGTGTATGGGTTCAAGTTATTGTACTTAATCTTCTGATGTTCTTTTTACTAGAGCCATTTGTGCCTTTGGGTTCAAGTGTTTCAGATTCATCTTTCCATCTGGCCTTGTACACACCAATTCCAGTCATCATTACAGCTTTTCTTAACTCTCCCCCTTCCTGCCCTCCCACAAATCAACCCTTGCTTAGGACTCTGGGCTCTGACTTTTCATTTAAAATTGCAAATACCAAAAATATAGTCTTTCGTTCCCATGAGAGCATTTCTGCTTAGTTCAGCTGCTCCACTGGCTCATTCATTCCCTTTCTCCTTTGAGTAAACTGAAAGCCACAAACCCTCTACAGAAATTCTTAGGGATAGAAGAAAGACTTGGGCTAAGTCTACAATGGCTCAGGGGTGTGAAACCACCCCACTCCGTCCTAACTGCAGTATGATTACAGCACTATAAAGCACCAGTGTGAACCAGGTTACAGCTCTGGGAGATCTCTCTCTCTCTCTCTCAACACTTGTGCCATGGCCATATTTTCCGTTTAAAGCGCTGCTGTGGCTACAGTTTAAACTTTTAAGTGTAGACAAAGCCTAAGCATGCTGCTTTTTAAGAAGACCTCTCCCAGGCATCTGATTTGTCTGTTTTCCAAGTGTATTCACATATAAACACCTACACCCATTAAAAATATGTGGGAAATTATAGCTTCAGTTTTCTGCTGTCCACAAGTAATTCAAATTGCCTACTTTTTTAGATCTAGCTATTTTTTTATCTAATAGCTCATGAGCGGGTGCAGTGACAGCAAATGTGGAAATGATTCTGAGCGGGTGTGCAAGTTCTGTTTGTAGGTGGTTTTACACCCTCAACCTAATTGCTCCCTATGAGCTATTCTGTATTGTAGTAGGGGAGCTAAAGATCTCACTAGGAAAAATAGTGAAGACTACAGCCATGCAAGCTTCCCCCTTTGTAGGTGCACGAAGATGCCACCAGCTTTGTCACTTCTTTCAGCAATTATCAGGAGGCAGGGGGTTTTATTAAAGTTTACATTTTTCTCTCTTAAAATTATTTGCTAAGAGCTTATATTATTTATGCTCATAACAACACTTCTGTCTAAAAGCAGTAACATCACAGAGTTTTCTAGCACACAGGGCACTGGGCGAGAAGTCAGGAAGCCTGGGATTTCTTCCCTACTGTGCCCCTGACCTTGGGTGAGGCACTTAATCTCAGTTCTTCAGTTGTGCTTGAGCTTCCCCATTCTGTCAACAGGGAGTGGAACGCTTCCCAGGTTTGAAAAGTGCTTTGAGGTCTATTGCAATGTACTGTGTAACCATTAGGTGTTTATTGTGATTACTGTTCAGTATTTCTGATTTATGTTTTTTTGTGGTATCGGTAAATGTGGTGCTGCATAGTGCAAATCATGATAATCCCCACCTCTAGTACTTTACAGCCTAATTTAGCACTTGCCAAGGACTTGTGTAAAACTTCTTGTTTTCATTGGAGCTTTGTATAATTATGGGTTGGGGGAGAAATGACTCTGCGCCTGTCTCAGATTTTAATGGGATACAAAAGGTTGGACAATTTTAATGTTCAAATAACACTGAAAGGGTTGATTTCTCCATGCTTGTTTCAATCATCTAAAAAGACAGTTGCATAATAAGAACCTAAAATTGTGCAGTAGAAAAATAAATCATGACTGCTGGAGATCAGTGCCAAAGAAATAGCCCAAGACACTTCTCCCAGTCAGTGTTGCCTTAAGAGTGCAGGTACAGAGCCAAACATGGAGACAAGAGTGGAGGCGTGAAAATCAATCTTCTGTCATACATAAAAAAATGTATTTTGTGGAAGACCTCCCCAAAACTTCCCATTTATTTGTTAAGCAGCCATTTACGTTGTGGTTTTTTATAGCTTGATTGTGTGTTTAGATGTATGTATGTATGTATGTATTCAGGGAAAATACTTACTTGTAAGAAATTGTGCATTTAAAGCAGATGGTGTGCCATAAAGTGTATCTTTCGGGGTACTGATGGAGCCCAAAATGTTATCCATAGTTAATTTCACTCCATGATATGCTGCCTTTTTGTTAACAAGGTTGGGATGAATACTTGCATTTGATGCCTATTGACATCTGAATGCAGTGTGGTGGGAGCAACTTTTTGTCCATTTGCTGGGGGAAAAAGAGGAAATAGAAGTTCTAGAATTTCCTGGCCTTTGGCTTACCTTAAGCAGTTTTTCATACCTACTTTTGCTCAATAAATAGAGTTTTTGAAAGCCTTTTGACACAGATTGTTTTGATCTTGCCCTGGGCTTCCAATCATTAGCTAAGTGTCCAGCAGTTCCTTTCTGGTCATCTTTTTTTGTTGTTGTTTTTGGTCTCTTCAGCTCTTAATTTTCCTTTTGGTCCCTCAGTATGGCCCCTATTGTGCCACTTATCTTTGTTCAGCAAAAAAATATGTACACAGTTCCTTGTGCCACCCATGACGCTTAATAAATTGTCCAGCATGAGGTACTGAAGATCAAAATACCTCATCCTGCTCTGTCATCTCCAGCTAGAGGAGTACAACTCTACACCAGCCTGGAGAGGGCAAGTTCTGAGAGCACGCCCACTTCTGCACAGTTGCCCAGTGCACTGGCTGGCATCTTGCTGAAGAGCAGCAGAAGCTTCCTTTGCTGGCATTTTAAAAGCTCAGTTTTATTAATTTTTTTTTTAACAAATTGCTCTTCCCTCTCCCCCTCCAGGTAACTGACAACTGCATTCTCCTTGATCTGTGTGATATTGTATGTGTGCGTAAAAACTGTAGGAAGCATTGCTGTCATTAACTGTTCTTAATCTGATACCATGTATGTACGTACATAAGGGACTATTATGCACCAAATGGCTTCTCTTTGTTTTACAGTCTCCTTCTTCTCAAGTGTAAACCCTTCCATTCTCCTCTTCACCTACTCAAAGACCAAATCTGGAAAAAGTAACCAAAAGGTGGCCCACATCATAGACGAAGCAGGGAAAGTGGGATGGTGGTGAAATAATTTAAAGGTAAGTGATGCTTTTTTATCCTTTTTACCATCTCTTCCCTCAGTTTAACATGAAGTCTAGAAATCCTTGGTGTTGAATGGAGATTAGCCATGAAGCATCTTAATGTGTATGTATGTAGAGCTAAAATGGATGTGTGAGTGAAAACAACCATTTCTACAAGAAACACAGTGACGTAGATTACGTGGATGGCATTACCTTGCCTTAATTGAGAAAACCTTTATAAAGAGGCTTCAGAATTTTGAACCTTCTCCTTTTGATATACAGTTGTGTTGTGTGTTTTTTATTTGCATTGAAACTTGGATATGAAATGGAATAACTGATCGTTAGCATTTTATTTGTACTTTGTGGAATGTCGTGACTGCCTATTCTGAAATCTTTCACTGTTGTGGTTTTTGATAGATTTATTAATGGAGGGACCGAAAAAGGAATGTATTTCTCACTTCCTCAATAGGAGATTAGGGTATTTTAATTATCAGCTGTCACTGGTCTTCCAAAAAATGCTCAACGGTATAAAGGATAACGAAGGCACCAACTTGCAATTTGCATGAGGTCAGGGTGCCATCTAACTGGAAATGTGCATCTTAGGAGACTTATTCGTACTGATCTTTCCTTTACCCAGAGAAAGGGAAAAGATCAAGATATAATAATGATCTATCACCCCTGCCTTTGTAAATGAGGATCCTGTCAGAAATAAAGTTGCTAGAAAGCATTATTTAGGATTAGTGGTCTTTAAATGTTAAGAGAACAAATTTTCAAAGGTGGCATGAGCATGCAATTACCTGCATTTCCTCAGATACTGATTCATAGGTAGATACGAAGCACAGTTGTTCATGTCAAACATTTTGCTATATGCTACTAGCACATTTATCTGGTATTGCTCAGGTTATTAAGGAGGGGCTCAGGGCAGGGGGCCTAAGGACTAGTGGATGCAGGACTAAGGATTGGGGGGTGAGGAGGTGCTCAGAGTGGGGGATACAGGGGATGGGAGGGAGGGCTCAGGGCTAGGGATGTCAAATTTTGAATATTTGGCTAATCAAATAGTCGATGCAATTTGCATCAACTATTTGATTAGTCGGTAAGGGCACTTCTGCCTTTGAAGTGTAGGAACAGGGTTGCTGCTACACTTCAAAAGCAGAAGTGCTGCAGGGAACTCGGGGTCAGCGGGGAACTGCTTGAGTCCCCTATTGGCCCCATGCTCCCTGCGGCATTTCAAAGCAGCAGTACCGCATAGAGCCCGGGGTATCGGGGGGGAGGTCCCCAGCTGATCCTGGGCTCCACACAGCGCTGCCTCTTTGAAGCACCCCTTCCTCCTCCCCCCCCTTGCTGCCTCTTTCTGATAGAGGCAGCAAGTTGGGGGGAAGCGACTAGTCGACTAGCCTGTGAACTATCCAATAAGCAGGGCTCGCTGAGCGGCGGCAAGCCCCGCTCGCCAGCCACGGTGTTCTGCGTGCTGTGCATGCGCAGGTTGCTCTGCACCAGCTCTTCCGGGGTGTAATCTACTCACCAGAGGCAAGTAGATTACATTGTTTTTTGAGCCCTGCCAATAAGCATTTGCTTATTGGATAGTCGAGTAGTTGTTCACACCCCTGCTCAGGGCAGAGGGGAGGGAGGTGCAGGGGTCAGAGCAGGGAGTTGGAAAGTGTGTGTTGGGGGGCCTCAGGGCAGAGGACGTGGGTACAGGAGGTAGGTCAGTTCCCTTGGGTGGCCGGGGCATGGGCTGGCCAGGTTGGCTTCCTGGGGGCCATGCTACCTGGGCATGGGCTGGCCAGGCACTGGCAAAGGAACCTTACCCATGTCTAGTGACCGGCAACATCCAGACTCCCGTCCCAAGCTGGCCACTGTCTTACGGGTGCACCTGCCCCTCTCTGGTTATTCTGCAGTATAACTGTGCCTGCTAGCAAACCCCTCCGTTTGCATTTTATGAGAAAATCATATTCCAGGTAGGAATGTGAAATCCCATTTAATTGGCTAACCAGTTAAACATTAAGTTTAACTGATTAACCAGTTAAACTGGGGAAAGGTGGATTGGAGCACCCAAGACCCACCGCAAATGGGAGTTGCTCCAGCAGGGCTGGAGCACCATAGCTCCACTATGGACAAGGACTGCTCCGGCTGGGCTACAGCATCCCTGCCCACCACAGGCATTTCTGGGCTGGAGTAGCCCCCTGCCCGCAGTGGGAGGGAGGCTGCTTCAGCCCTCACTGGTTAACCATAACCCGTAAGCCTCACTAGTTAACCATTAACATCCCTAATTCAAGGAATTGTCCTAGTACAACCAAACCCTTCACTTCCTTAAGTTAAGATAAGAGGAAGCTGCATAGCAAATTTGTTAGTCCTAGCTCTTACCATCAGGAGGAGCTTGTGAACAAACGGACTCGCAGACGGACAGACACACTAACTCTTTCAAATATATAGTAGATTTCTTTTGTGCTTCATCACTACTATTCTTGCAATGCTTGTTAATGAAAAACTGATAGCTGGGAGGGGAACTCAAATCCCTTCTTTAAGTAAAAAAAAGGAAAATGATGGAACCGGAAAGGTAGACCATATCATTGAAGAAACGCAATTCATGGATTAATCCTCATCTGGCTTGCCATCTGTGGCACATCTCAAAACAGAAATCTCGTTTTATATCTCTTTAAAGAGATCTATTCTAATTGGCTATCTGAAATATCTGTGTTGCTAATAGGGAATGAGCTTTTTTCGGTCATTGTTATTTTTGCACCAAGTAGGCATTAGGGACCAATGGAAGAGTGCCTAGAAAATGAGAGAAAGCAGGACTACATTTGGCCAGGTGATTAGCATGTGACAACATAGTGCTTTGGGACTAACTTCCAGACAAAGCCAGTAAATTATTGTATTTCCTATGAATGTATGCTTGGCACCTCCTGCAGCTGCTACACTGATGGTGCAAAAGATTGGCAGTGGATTTCTACAGGTTTTTGGGTACGGTGAACTAGTTAGATGTCTAAACCATTTAATTTGTGAGTGTAAACTTAGCGGATGTTTAAAAAAATGTGGCCAGTCAGGGTCCTTAGTGCAGGGATGGGGAACCTGAGGACTCTGGCTTGCCTGGATCTGGCCCCTGGGATTTGGGGCTCCCTCGCCAGCATTAGGGACCCTACACTGCTGCTCTAGCCCTCCTCTCCCCCTCTCCTCCGCTGCCCCGATGTGGGGCTGAAGCACACACAATCTACTAGCCTGCCCCCCCCCCCCCCCCCCCCCCACCCCCTCCCCCCCCGCCCCCCAGGCTCTACAGTGCATGGCAAATGTGGGGAGTGTCTTTCTCCTCCTTAGTTGGGGGGTTACATTAGTGAGGATTGGTTTGTTTGTTTTTTGCTTCTCACTTGTGTGTGGCTCCTGCCTGATTTTTCTATGCATCAGCAGCCCCCAACCCCAAAAATGTTCCCCATCCCTGCCCTTGTGAATCCATCCCCTGGGAAATGAAGCACAGCATTGTTCCCTAATATATGTTTTCTAGAACTTGGTCCAGCCTAGTTTTAAATATCCTGAATAATGGGGTCTCCGGTACTATTTTTTGTGTGTGAGGAACTATTGAACTCACTCAAAGGGAAAGCAGGGTTATCTCCTTCCCTGCTTTTAAACTTTCTCTTCTGTGATTCTAAACTTTGAAATGCTTCCTTGTTATTTCCAGGAAATGCTACTCTGTGTGGCTGTGTGCGCATGTGCACACATTTTATTCATTGAATACCCTAACTCATGGTATTTACCTTTCTCCTCTACTTTGAGACATCGGTGATGTTCTGTCTCATCCTGGTGTATTTCAAAATATACCCTCTGTGCAGGCAAGCAGTTAAGTCATTGTGTCAGGGCCTTCCTGGACAGAGATGCTTTTCTGAATCAGGATCTCTATCACTGATTGGCATTGTCTTGTGACTTTCCTTATTTCTGTTTCCTTGGGGAATTCTGTAAACCCTGGCAGCCTTTTCTTTGCTCATGGAAGGTTCTCTGATAGCTGCAGGAGAATCTGAGTAATACAGAATCCAAAGTCTGGGGTGCCTGCTACCACTCCAGCCCTCCCCTATAATGGTTTCACCACAAAGAAGAGAAAGTTCATTTACTTTGCTGTTTCTTTTCATTGGTGATGTCAATAAAGTACTGAAACTACATCTCTGGGGAGTTACAATACTCCTATAACACTCATACATTGAGGTTATCCAGGAACTCAGTACAGATGGTGAAATATTGCAGGTTTATTGCCTTTCCATTCATTTTGTTCTCATGCCTTTCTGCCTGACTGACTCATTGCCATTTGTCCTCTGCTTGTAATTTCTATTTGCTGCAGCAACGCCTACTGGACAAGGCAAGGGCACTTGTAAAGCACTTATACTTGCATCCAGGTCCTTTGGTATTTTTCTTCTCGCTAGATTCTGTGGCTGTGGTAATAAAGCACTGCAGGTACAAAAAGTCATAGAGATGCCACTTGCCAAAGCATGAAGTAGGAACAAAATACTAACATGACCTATGAGCAGGGCCGTCCCACAACATTTTGGCACCTGAGGCGGGGAGCTCAAATGACGTCCCCATGCCTCCTCGCTGCATCAGCAGCAGACACAATTTTCTACACTCTGGATCCTAGTGGCGCCCCCCCACAGTCTGGCACCTGAGACGGCTGCCTCAGTTTACCTCATGGTAAGGCCAGCCCTGCCCATGAGCAGAAGAAATGAAAATTACATCAATTTTTGATGGCTTCCAGACTTAGGAGTTTGAGAAAGTTCTCTCTTCTGAGAAAGCCTTGCTGCAAAGACAGAATCCATACGTAGGCTTTGGCAGCAAGAATCTCCTGGCTGATGTTAATTACCTTGATGTGGAAACGGTGTGGAACCAGGTTCCAGACCATTTTAGGCTCTTGCGTTCTGCTTATGAACTGGTTTTTCCTCCTCCTCTCTTGACAGCAGTGGTTCTCCACCAGAAGTTTGTGGCCCCTGGGGGACCAAAAGCAGGGCTAGCATTAGACTCACTGGGGTCCAGGACAGAAA